ACTGGAATGGAATGGGTCATGTGATAGAACAGTCATGTGATGGTGAATCTCAGACTGACCGTAGGCATGAGGTGAGCCCAAGTCAGAGTGCACAGTCAGTCCTAGTGAAACAGGCAGAGAGAGGTCTGGAGGGCCCAGCAGGCATCAGGGGAGGAGGGACGACCCGAGAACAGACAGACAGCTGGCGTTTGGATTCTGAAACTTCACTGTGGTGGACGTCATCATATCCAGTGCATATACTCCAAGGTGGTTCCTGAGCAACTGCACTGAGGCAGATATTTAAGATTTTTAATTATCCTTAACTGGCCCAGAATAAATTGTACATACACATTTATGAGATATGGTGTGTGTGTGTGTGTGTGTGTGTGTGTGTGTGTGTGTGTTGTGTGTGTGTTGACCAGATCAAAGTAATCAGCATAGCCACTCTCCCCAGCATCTGTCATTTCTTTGGGGAACATTCAAAATCCTATTGAAGTCTATAATACATTACCACTCACTGTGGTCGCCCTGTAGTGTAAAGCACACCCGCGCTTTTCCCTTCGTCCACGCTTTACCTCATCACCAACCTCTCTCTGTCCTCTCTTGCCTCTGATAACCTCAGTTCCATGCTCTCAGATCAAGTGACTGAGCATCTGTACATGAGTGAGATCATGGTGTGCTTGTCTTCTTGTACCCAGCTCACATGTCCCCAGTTCCATCTGTATTATCACACATTATAAGATTTTGATATTTTGCAAAATTTTTATTATTTATTATTTTTTATGTGTGTGGATGTTTTATCTGTTATATTGTCTATGCACCACGTGCATGTAGAACCTACAGAGGCCAGAAAAGGGCATCAGACACCCTGGACCTGGAGTTATAGATGGTTGTGAGCCAGTGGGTGCTAGGAATCAAACCTAGGTCCTTGGGAAGAGCAGCAGGTACCATCTCTCCAGTCCCAGTGAATTTCAGTAGTTTTAACGGCTGAAGAGTATTCCATTGTGTTTATGCTACACTTTCTTTTATCCGTTCATAACTGATGAATGC